CCCCCCCCCCACCTGGAAAGCTGAATCTTCCAAATCTACTGTATCTCCAGATGCGAATAAAGAAAAAGGAGTTCCAGGATCCACTGTTCTACGTACTAGCAAGCGATTAGCCAGCTGGTCTGACCACTGGGCTGTAACCAACGGATTTGGTCAACGTCGTGACCTTTCGACAAAACCCCAAGCCCAGCTCACAATCCCTGGATTTTGCGACTCAGTGAGACGCGTCCATGAGGCAGCTTCAAACGAACAAACCAGCAAAAGCAAGCAAACAAACCGTGGCCCGCCGCTTCCCGGAAAGCTCTTCTTCTTTTAAGGATGGATGGAAATGGATTTTAAATGCTCACAAAACCGTTGTGATCTTCCTATACTTCCCTATGTTCTCCCAAGGATGCATTTATCAGAGGGGAACGGTGGGTTTCTTCAGGGCCAGTCCAGGTCATTCTAGACCCTGAATCTGATCCACAAGTAAATGGCCTGTGAAGTCTCCACCATGACAGAGGGAACGAAGCACTTTAGCTAAACCTTTCCACCGTGTTCCCCAGGGAGAGGGGCGCAAATCCTTCCTCTGAGGTCAGAGAGGAGGGAATGGCCAGCCTCAAGGCTCTGTGGAAGTAACAGGACAGCGTCAGGGTGGGAACAGCTCTGAGAAGCTTCTTCACCCATGCTATTGAGCTCCTGACTGGAAAGAAACGACCGTGCCAAACTTAATGCCCTGGACCAATCCAAATTGAGTCTTATGTAGTCTGGGTGTGGGACAGAGGCCAGAGGGCGACAGCTTGGGTCTAGGAACGCATGACTCCAGAGGCATGAATGACGATGGAAAAACCAGCCCCCTACCCTGAACCGCCATTTCCTCAGCTGGCGGGCTGGCGTGTTATCGGTGCAAGTCCTGGGGAGGGGACCGAGGTCTGAGCCACGCTGCTCCTGATCTGAAATGCCCTCCCCCTCCTTCCCCACCTGGCACACATCTAATCCTCCTGTGGCGGGTGGCCCTTCCTCTGGAGAGCGTCCTTCCCGCTCTCACAGAAGGTACGTTTGCAACCGCGGCTGGTCCTACAGCCTCTGCCATCAAAGATGATGCCTCTACTCCTTCAGGTTAGAGTCTCAGGGGCGTGTCTGCTCTATGTTGCCAGCCCTTGAGGTTCGACACTTATGTGTGAGTCTATCTCTGGCTCTAGGCGGCTCTACCGCGACATCTAGAACTTCAGGCAAGGCCCGGATGTGTGCCTGTGAGCTGGTTTCCGTCGTCCCCTCCGCGGCTGACGCCCAGGAGGCGCTCCGTGGACATCGTGGAATGAACAGGCCAGCCTTCTGCAGACAGGAAGCTTTCTGAAGTCTGGCCCAGAATGTAACACTGTGCTTGTCACTAGTAAGCACTTGGTGATATTTATTCTTTCACGAATGACATGAAAATCAATTACCTAGAGCAATCAGGAAAGACATAAAGAGTCTGATGTAAATATCACCTATGACATGCCTCAGCTCTGAATCGCTGGCTCTCGTGACATGCCGAGAGTCCATTACTAACACTATGGGGACGCCTCGTGCTTCGTGTGTTCCCCCGAGGACGCGCATCCTTTTGTCGCCTGGCGCGCGGGCGGGTGCTTTTCCGCCAGGCTTCCAGGGTGCCAACTTTGCCCATCTGCCTTTCAGAGCAGCTAGTTAAGGGGCCGATCTGCTTTGAATTCTGCGGTCAGGGACCTGAAGTGTGATCTCTGAATGAAACGGTCTGATGGAATCTGGGCTCCAGATTCACAGGGGCAGAACAAGACTGCTCAGGACTCCCTTCAGACCCAGGATCCGCGCCCTCTGACTCTGGTGACTTAGGTCACGGATCTCACGGGACATCCCAGGATGTCTCTGCAGGGACAGATCACACAGGGGTGTTTTTCGTACCTGGCCTAGTTGTAATTCTTTGCGTGGCCTCAGGATATACTGAAGTATTTGGGAAAATAAAAGCTGCACCCCCTGCAGACAAAAGGAAAGACAAAACATGTGAAGGTCTTTTGTTGTGGTTGTTGATCTCCTGCAACCAAATCAACTTTGCCCTGTGACACCAAAGGGAGGGGACCCCCTGGAGCCGGCCATCTGGGACTCCCAGGAGGTGGGGGGGGGGAAGGGATAAGCAAACGGGGGCAGAAACTGATTCCGACTACGGAGATAGATGTCAGGCTATACTGCGTCCCATTTGTCAGAAAGTGTCCCGTGTTTTGATGGTATGGCTTCTTGCTGAAGCACATCTGTGTTTCCCCTATCACCCCCAACCATCTCACTTTATAAAAAAAAAAAAAAAATTCTATGGTGCGTATTTTCAATTATAAGTTGCATAAAAATCCAGAGAAACATTTTACAGAGCCCTTGGAAAACAGTCCCAAAGAATTACAAATATTTTTTTGCCAAAGAATGTATGGATCTTATTAAAAATAAATCCACATTTCTCTTCAAATGCATGTTTCCCCTTCTCTGCCTCAATCCACTGCCCGTGTTGTGAGCAGGAAAAAAAAAAATCCCCTTCTGCATTTCAGTCCATTTGGAATCGGTCCTCCCGTTCTTCGATTGCTTCTACGTTTAACAGTAACACTAGTAACAAAAGCAGAGCGTTCTCGAAACTTTCACTCACTGTTATAAATTTTCTAAACAACTGTGAAATGATCAGAAAATGTGTCGCTCAAGGGGGTTCTTAAGAGGGGGAAATCACTCGGCCTAAGTTATTTGTTATTTTCTGGCCACAAGGTCATTAATAGGCTGACGTGTGTAACCTACAGTGAAAAAGCATACGACTGACTCCAAGCTTTTTTTTTTTTTTCACTTTCAGTGAAAAGCACAATGTCCTGAATCTGGAGGACCAAGATAAAGGAGCCATCTATCTCACTGTAATACCCAAACCGGGACTCGCTCACGTTATTTGAGAACACGGCTGTACTTCCGTGTGAGGCTGGCCATGAATCGGCTTCTTTGCCGACGATGGGGTTACCCAAGCCTTGATGGTTTCCGCCCCGGCCTGAGTGGTGGCAGAAGGGCCCTGCCGGCTGACACAGTGGGGTGAGCAGCCTGTGGCCAGGCTTTGGTAGCTGTCTCTATCAGGAGGGAGACGGCGGATGCCAGCCGCGGACACGTTCATCCGCAGAAAGCCAGCCTCGACCATGAGGGGGATGGGGAAGGTTAGCGGGGATGAAGCATCCTGTTCAACTCGACTAGACTCAGGCCATAAATAAACAGATAAAATGCAGAATCTGTGGTTAGAGACGGGATAGCAGGGATTGGGTTAGTAACTGATTTCATATCCTCCAAAATACAACGCAGTCTCCCTTTCAGCCCCAAGCTCCCAAAAAGTGACGAATGAGCTTTCTTTCCTCCTGCCCTTTGCAAACGTCCAGAGTCTGTGCAAGAAGATTAAAGTCAGGATGAGTCAAGTGGCCTAAGACTTTTCCTAAAAGGAAAAAATAAAACTCCTGCTTGTCCTAGTACACGTTCCTTTGTGAACAAAAAAGAAATAAAAAGAACCCCAAGGGCCCCCTTTATATCGAACATGCTTTTAGTTTCTACAGTCAGCACAGCGGCAGATTGTAATCCAGCAAAAGAGAGGTAAGGCAACGGCTAAGGGCTAATTCTGCGCCTCTCCTGGTCGAAAGAAGTCCTTTGATGGTCCAAGGGGGTGGGGAGTGCTCAGAAACCAAAATGGGCTCCCCCTGCCGGCAGGCTCTGGTACTTCAGCAAGAGCCTCCTGCATATCAAGAACCCCTCGAGCATCCCTTCTGTTCTGCCTTCCTGATGCCCTGACCGGCCCGCCATCCACCTTGAAAGCGTGCAATCTGTGGACAAGGCTTTGCGCGTGTCCTGTGGGGAAGGGGCAGGCCCAGCATTACCTGTGTTTCTAGCATGCATTAACCGTGGAGAGTTTTGTAAGGCTTTATCAACATCATCTGAAGTCAAATGTGGAAGAGGAGCTACAAAACAAAACAAAAGCGACATCAAAATGAAAAAGAGAGAGAGAGAGAGAGAGAGAGAGAATTACCCTCCTTAAAAAAAAAAAAAAAGAAGAAGAAGAAGAAGAAGAAAGAAAGAAGAAGAAGAACACCTCCCCACCCCCACCCTACTTTCCTGAGCGGCTCGGAAATCTCTCCATGGCCCTGCGGCTGGTTAGCGTGTTAAAACCTAGGTGGGCCCATATTTAATTCGGGGAACAAGTGATCGGGATGCCAGGCAAAGCATTTACACCGGAGTCCACACCCAGCCCCCTGCTGCACTATTTCCCTCTCCTGCCAACCATGCTTGATGTCTGAAAAATTAAACCATACAGCAAACCGGGTGAATTCATGCCTCCAATCGCCAATATGCCATTCCCACTCTGTCAGGTGAAGCCACATGTCATGATACGAACTGGAAACTTCTCTCACTCTGTGCTCAGGTGGGACCGGGAGGGGGCTTGGTTTAGCTTTAGGGAGGATGAGCCCCGTAATTCCCATCGGGGGCCTTTCCGTCTGTTTCCGTTTTAGTGTGGGACACCACGGGGACTCAATAATGTGTGACCAGAGGAAGCTCTGCTCCCCTCTGCCATGTGATCCTCTTGGTGGAGGTGACCCAGGCGGAGGCAGTTGAAGCCTCGTGTGATCCCTCAGGCTTCTGGGAAAAGCGCTTGACCGCTTGTCACATGTGTACCTAGATCGTGGCCTCGTAAGCGTTTGGTTCTCCCAGATCCTAAGTGAGAACTGGGTTAGGGCGGGAAGAAGCTCTCACAGACTGGACTGGACCCCCTCAGCTCGGGTTGGCAAGAACCCGCACCCCAGTGATCTCCGCCCCGACCCTCTTACTCTCTCTGAGGTAGTGCAGGTGGGAGAGAAGGATGTCAGCGTTGTAGCTCGGGGTGAGCCTCTGGAAGTCGTCCTTGGTCATCTTGCACAGCTCCTTCCCGTCGATGTTCTGGAACAGCAAGATGTCGACGTCCGGAAGGCCATACTCTTTCACCGCCCACTCCAGCCACTGCCGGACGTGGTCCGTACTCCACAGTGTGGGATCTGAAAGGGGTTGGGACAGAAGCAATCAGCGAATCGGCTCCCGAAGACGCATTTCCAGGGCAGAGCCACATCCCAGGCAGGGCCCCCGCCAGCCACGGCTTCCCGGAGGGGCCCCTTCCCCGCTGTTCTAGAAGACAGGCTTCCAAACAGGCACGGTGCCCTGTCAAAAGCAAGTGTCTTGGGGGAAAGACGAAAACAAAAAAACAAAAAACAAAAAAAAAGCCATCTGAGTCACGCCCAGAAATCGCTGCCTTTAAAGTGAATCGTTCTGGGGGCGCCTGGGTGGCGCAGTCGGTTAAGCGTCCGACTTCAGCCAGGTCACGATCTCGCGGTCCGTGAGTTCGAGCCCCGCGTCGGGCTCTGGGCTGATGGCTCGGAGCCTGGAGCCTGTTTCGGATCCTGTGTCTCCCTCTCTCTCTGCCCCTCCCCCGTTCATGCTCTGTCTCTGTCCCAAAAATAATAAATAAACGTTAAAAAAATAAAAAAAATAAAAATAAATAAAGTGAATCGTTCTGGAACACCACTGGCCCCTCATGGCTCAGATCATCTGAAGTTTCACGTAGGCACCAGGCTTTTTTATTATTCATTTTTGTCACTTAGTTTCATTTTTATTTACTTATTTACAAATGAAAAAATCATGGAAATTTTCTTTCCTTAGGGAACTGTTGGCATCGAGAGCTCAGAACACAAATCAGGAAGACGCTCATCACTGTCCGTCACGCAAAAAAAGCATTCATACAAAATACTGAAAAATACTGACCACAAAACTGGAAGTCAAGCGTAGGTGAACGAAAATCCTAGTGCCTCCCATGGGCTGGTGTTTCTTTTTTTTATTGTTGTTTTTCTTAATGTTTATTTTTGAGAGACAGGGAGAGAGAGAGCGCGAGCAAAACAGGGGTGGGGCAAAGAGAGACAGAGAGACAGAATCCGAAGCAGGCTCCAGGCTCTGA